TCCGAGCCAGCTGATGCCTGCCGGGAAGTACGTCAAGGTGCCGCTTCTGATCGGCGCGAACACGGACGAGGGCTTCGCCGTCTCGGGGACGCTGAACACCGAGGAAGACATCTTCAACGCCATCTTCTCCTGGCGCAGCTACGCGCTCACGCCGCCGACCGTCCGCCGGCTGCTCGAACTGTATCCGGATGACCCGTGCCACGAGCCGCCGTACGCCATCACGAACTGCACGCGGAACGCCGCGAAGGGGCTAATGTGGCGGCGCGCGACGGCCATCGGGGCCGATTTAGTCATGATCTCTGGCAGGCGGCGCATGGCGGAGCTATACTCTGGCGCGGGTGGCGTGCCCGTGTACAGCTACCGCTTCGACCAGCGGCCGTGGAACGGCCCCGAGTGGGACGGCGTCAAGCATTTCGTCAACGTGGCCTTTTCCTTCCAGAACATTTCCGGGCTGCTCGGGCCCAGTCCGCAGTACGACAGCCACCTCAAGCTCGCACGCGCCATCGGGCAGGCCTACGTCGGCTTTGTTAATCATCTGGATCCGAATAAGGGGACGACGAAGAATAGTAGTGGGAAAGTACAGGCGGAGGCACTGCCGCATTGGCCGGTTTATGATCTTAAGAGGCCGATGAATATGGTGCTCAATGCGACGAGGAATTGGGTTGAAGATGATACGTGGAGGAAGGAAGGGATTGAGTTTATGATGACCCCTGAGGTCGCAAAGGAACTACTCTCTTGAATAGAGTCATTTACCTGATTCCATCTAGGAAATATTAGAATGTGAGCCAATTTGACTCCTATCAGCGTTGCTAGCTGATATTTTGAGATCCATTCTTTGAAGACTAATCGGGTAATGCATAACATAACAAGAGGCTACAAACCAATTTGCTAGGCACAATCACAGTCGTAAATCTATCGATATACTAGGTAAGCTAGGTATACTATACGTATCATTCCTACATCTATTTGTGCGCCGACTATAGAGCCACCAATGCAAGTGCCAGGCGTTCAGGGGAACATCGAAACCGCTAGTCTCTCGAAGTTGTCTCCTCTCCGGGCCGCGGGATTTTGTTGACAGAATCCCGCATGCTTCTGAGACGGCCCCCGATTCACAGCATTTCAGACGTCGATTCACGGAAGTCCACGCTAATCAGCTGAGCCTTACCTGTCTCGACCTGCTCGTTTGAATCCCGATGCCAATGAGCCATTTGTAATATGAGAATTCGATACACCGTTTTCGCATGTACCCGAACCAGGGATTATAGGAATGGAGAGATAGGAAGCTTGAACCCCAGGTAGGAATATATTTACGTGTATTTAAATTATTTATAGTCCATATTTACACCTGAGGGTTGCGGATATACGAACGGGGACATTCGTTTGGTAGGCACATTTGGCGGTGAAGCGTGCCAAAGTGGCTATAGTGTCTTAGTGTTAAATCCTTCTTACCTGATACAACCTACTATTTAGAGGCCACTCATAGAGGTCTATTCCTGTTGTTGTCATCAGTCCCATCATCCTGGCCCCCTGAGTGAAGGTTGGCTATGTAGATATTAATAAATCGTGATCCGAGACAGCACAGGTAGTGGTTGAGTAGGGTTAAGTAGCTGTGGAGCGGAATCGTTAGCTACCGTCTTACACACGTTAAGGAGGAAAATCAACAACGCGTTTTCTAAGTCTGCCTAAAGCTACTCACACTGGCAAGCTTATAGAAAATGACGGCAGCCAGAGAGAGGTTTAGCGGTGCGAGAGAGACCGCGACAAACTCTCTCTAAAAGAGCCCAAGAGCGACTTTAAGAGCATCACCGCGACAGCGTAGAGCCTCACACAAGTTAGCGGTGTATTTCGCAGGATCGGCAAAGTCATTAAGGAGGCCTTGGACACTTCTGGGAAGTTTATTTTCCGAGTGGTTCGGGAGGATCATCAACCACCCCATATAATAGGTGAGCTTAGGTGTGGATTTTGCATCGTGCTGCCAATTTTTAAGCTCGCTGAGAAAGAAACGTGCATGGGGATCACAATGAGTTGCGTAAAGCTTAGTCCCCCTACGATTGGGTGATTATGGACATATCAACCGACATAAGCAATGAACAATGTATTTATAAATGTGGTCTAATCATGAAGTTTAAGAATTGTATAATTATCACTGGGTGCGATAATTTACCTATATCTTCGGTTGACCTATGTTTAAAGGTCTCTTTAGCGGCCTACGATGCTGAGAGTAACACACTAGCCCATATGCACCAAGCGTTGGTCGATCAACTTCTTATGCTCGCCCAGACGAATGAAATCAACACCGCTCGCCTGCTTGGTGAGTTTTTCGTCGCCTATTTCAACTAACGAGATATGTTGGAAAGTTTGTTCATCGACTTCCATATCACTCCCTTCAACAATGCAGAAAACGGGAGCCCACTGGCTAGAATGGTCGAAAAAACAGCCTGTATAGGCGATCCGCCTACGCACCCGATCATGAGGCGAGCCCAATGGCTGCCCATAGTAGTGTCCCACACCATGTCTGCAGGATACTTCCCACTTTAGAGAGACCGAAGTTCAAACTCGACGCGAAAGAAGCCGTCAACACCATAACCAACTGCCGCAGACGCCGAGATCACCGGAGCCACTAGCCCTCGTCGAGTTGTATCAGAATGTACTTTTGCATCTGGGAGCCCCTGAAATTTATCATTGACATACTTATTCCAGCTTCGGCTCATAAGTTGTCCTCTCCTTTATAGGAATCTACAACAGCCCGTAAGTTTCAAGGACTCCCAGATGAAAAAACACATCGAAATGTCCGCAGTCTCTAAGTGCAAAACATGTGCCAACTCGCGGGGAACCTGGATCTATACTTGCCAAATGGCACCCCTCGCGGGAGCACTCGTTTGCTTCCTGGAGTTTCGGGTCGCCGAACCAAATAGTGTGCATTTTCGCGTACGCCACGAGTTCCACGTAGAGCACTACTTTAGTTAGCAGCGAATTTTGTTTTCATGGTCTATGAGCAATCGTGTATATAAGCACATTATTACACTTCGTTATGATTATACGAACTTAAACTTGAGGATTAAATCACGTTTATACGCGTGGTATTCTCTACTTTATCCGGTAGAGCCATCTTTGTTCTCGTTTTCGTCGGAGTTATCGTGATACCACATTAATATGATACAAAGAGATTTCTTAGCGTCGTCTTATTGACCCGTTTCCCTGGAGTAGAGGGAAATGGAATATGAGTATATTCAATCCGATCTTTCCGCTAGCAAGTCACCTCATACCCCTGGCAGCGAGCGTAGTATGCTCATGACGAAATTGAAGTATAAATACTTCATTGCCGGGCGCTGATCGGTAGTAAACCTCAAGATGCGGCTATGGAGCTTCTAGCCTATAGGGCACATTGTTTCGGCATATTTTCCTCTAAGTATCTCTTTGTCTAACACGGTAATCATTGGGCTTTCGTTACTTATTGGGATTTTGCGTCGTCTAGCATTTTATGGCTCAATGCTGCTTCTCGGTGATTGCTGCCACAGTACGAATGCCCAAGGGTGCTCCTCGAATAGCAATGCCATATATTCTGCCTAGTCTTCCTCGTACTGATCAGGCACAACTCCTTGTAAGTCATCTTCCAGCGCAGAAGTGTCACTGTGTACAGGTAGATTTGGCTGTAGAGAATCAGGTGAGGGTTACGTAAATTCTCCTTTCTTCTGACTAGGCCAAATACTGGGGGATGATAATGGCGGCCTCTCGGGAGTCAATCTGTAGATGTCATTGAATTCTAAGGCGAGACCCTGGACTGCCGTCTAAAGGGTCATAGTAATATCAACGTTCTGACGGTTGAAAGTGAGCCGAGGCTCTGCTCAGGGATCGATAATTTATTGAGCTTGTCTTTTAGGAATATAATAGGTTGGTCGTTCTAGCCTGACAGCCCGCCACTCGCGACTGGTATTGACTCGTACATGCCTCCGTGTCTGGCTTGCCGGATGAGTTTATTCAAACAGTGCTGTTGATGCTCAGTTCAGACCTTTCAGTATGATTTATTCCAGGAAGGTGTGCCCTCCCGTAGCCTCACCTAGTGAGTGATGAGGTCTGTGGGCGGTATGCCTAGCATCGATGCAGCATTCGGGTGTCTGTACGTATTAAACGTGCGCATCCCACCCTCGATGAGGACCTCAGGTACCGGCGAGCAATGTGGAGTCCTGCTGTCTAGAACCACTACCACCTCAGATAGGACATCTCGGCTACGGCCATAATTTATCGCTTTTATACTCGCTGGTGTGCAGGGGAATTCGGGCGGTGCTGTTGAGCTGCTCGTCGTTTGCTGCTACGATTATCCCCACGTTAGCTGGATGAGCACCTTGAAGTAACATACTTTGACCTATTCTTTTTCTTGGATTTGTGTTGTACTGAATACCCGCAGACTGGAGACCGTGTGTTCGATAGTGTCTTCGTTCGTGTGTGGTTCGGATGGCGTTGACTCGATTTGTGTAGGATGACTGGTCTATATTTTAGTGTTCTTGAGATCTCTAATCCGTGACTGAGGAGCGACTAAGTTGGCCCCTTAAGTTCACCCCTTCCCCGAGAATCTCAATGACGAAAACTGCCCACTCTACAAGGTTCGCAGACAACATGGAGACTGCCGTGCGTCTCCGGCTTGCGCTATTAAGTTTATAGATAGCTACCGTGGACCACGGGAGGCTCCTGCTAGGGATTTGGTTTTTATATAGAAGAGCCAGTGGGAGGTGACTGATTCACTGGCCTACCTCCGCGTCGGTAATCTCAGTGATCGCGTCATACGATCCCGCGGATTGCTCCTTTTATAGCTTAGTGAAGCCTTTTACCCGCCTACGCCGTCTTCCCCTCATTTCGTACTAGTGAGTCTTTCTCATGTGACCTATCCTCTAGACAGGCTATAGTTGGTTGGTTCGTAACAAGACCGCGTAGTGTTTGTGGTGATCACCAAAGTGAGAAAAAGGGCTTAATATTTTAAATTAGGAGATGTCCTAGCAAGAAAGCCCGGAGTGATGTAGTGGTAACATACCAAGGTGACAGTTAAACTTCTCTTCGCAGAGAGTTTAATCCCTACGGGGGCGGAGGAGTCCCAGGTTCGATTCCTGGCTCTGGGATCTTTTTTGAAACTTATTTGTTATGTAAAAAAATCAATATTTTATTTAAGCTTATTTTAGATTTTATAAGAAATTTCGTTAGGTATCTTGAAAGAATAGTTAGTCACGTGGGCGACCAGTCTCCTCCGTCCTACCTAGCTAATAATAACATTATCCTCTCACTGGCTTTTATCTCTGGGAGAGCAGACGACATCCCGATTTTTTCTAGTGAGTGTGGTCGTACGTGGGAGGATGGAGTGTTTATTCGATTTCATATCGTACGTACCGCTTGTGCTGGTCGTCAAGATTCCTCATCACAGATTGAGTGAGAGGTATGAGAGGTTGAGCCTCTAACCTGACTACACTCGAAGAGCCGAATGACTCGAACTTTTGCTCTCACTGTAGATGAGAGAGAACTTACTAATTCGTGCATAGTAGTCGATTGAGAATCATGTATCACCGTCAATCGTCGCCATGAGTGAGAGTAGGTATTCGGGACCTACGATACTTGCGGGATAGACAGAACGATCAGACAGCTCAACACTTAAACTTTTTTGTTAATGAGTATGAGCCATAAGAGACCCATATGTGCGACACGCTCGACTCGCTCATCCGAACATATCAGTGCTCCATCAAGAGCTTCAGAAAGATTGAGCTTCCAAACATGTTGTTTAGGTAAGCACATGATAGATAACCGGAGTTGACGTTTCACTCAGCGGAATTTTCCAGAAAAAAAAAAAAAACTAGCGCAGTGAAAACGATCCAACTTCTGCATCATGTATAGCTGTATCCTGATATATTCGCGATCGGCGGTGGGGGAGCCAACGGCGTACCGATTGGTATGCTACATTAGCCTAATGTACGTCTGCTCCCCATCGCTCGAATCGATGCCTTGTGGGCCATATACGCTGTGTATGGTATACACTCGGGTAATTCCTCGTCTTAATCGCACGTGGCGTTTCACTGCGCACTTGGGTGCGGATTGTCTATATGCTGTACGCCTGAAGGGTCGAGGAGCAGCCGCGTAACGGAGCATCGGGTCCTCCCATAACCCACGCCAGATGCATGCGCTCGATATAGATTAGGGTCTACCCCAAGGACGAAGCGTATTGCTCCCAGAGACGTGTCGTGCTGTGCCATTACCCCGACGTCGGGGCACGGGATGAATTTGGCTCGAGATAATTGCCTTCCGTGATGATAGCATGTGATGTATGCTTAATTTCTCTGACGCGTCTCGTAAATAGATATACTAGGTGCGCCTTTTTCGTCAGTACTGCTGATTCCCGGAAGTCTGCTGTAGCAAACCGTTTGAAGATATTGATTTAATGAGGAGGATGTGATGCGGGTTGCCGCGCGCCCACTTCACGAGCCGTCGTTACGGCATGTGTCCCTAGGTAGGTGTGCTCCCGAGGTCAACTAGGTCAACCCATCCCGACCGGCAAGAGATCACGGAGCAAAATACCAGTCTGGGTGTGCCAAGAAGAGTTGGAGGTCTCGGAGCACCCCAGTAATTGGGAGGCGACGTCTACCCATCGTGAGGTATGTAGCGCCCAAACGGTCTGGAAGCCTATCTAGAAGAGACCTGCATATCTTTGTTGGATCAGCATGCAGACCGAGTTGGTTATCATTGTGGCTAGGGTCCCTACATACATACGTACCTAGCTCCCTAGGCGGCGGTAGACAGGCGCGAAAGAAGGCCATTGATGGATAACAGCTGACCTAACCGCTTGGCATGCCTTTCTGTAATAGGGAGGTCTTTCTTCAATTGAATCGCATCCCTGAATGTCGGACCACGGCTTGAGTGCCGGTGATATATATGTTGAAAGAGATATACCTACACGAGTTGTACACATCGTTATCGTAGCTATAGCTGTAAGACAGCGATTACCTACCCCAAACTCGAGAGCAATTGTGTAGGTACTCTGCGGTAAATGCATTACCTCTAAGATGAATACTCATGCCTAGCGGATTACCGGTCGGGTACTGCCGAATAGCATGAATAGTTTGAGGCTAGTGTACCAAGAATGTGGCATTTGAAATAATAAATCTGATAGGAAAATAAAGCCTATGATAGGTAGACTTTTTCACTATCTACCGGTGGCTGACGCATTGTCAGCAACTTGGGCCAAGAGCTAGATTCTTGGCTTTAAACCAAGCGTCAACCATCTAACGAGACATCCAAACCACGTTAGGAATGTGAGTAGGGAGATCAATAACACGCCGTCGGGATTCTGTAATGAGCGCATTGTTTCTTGGCCTACAGAAGGACTGGGAACCTGGTATCGTCGTAGGAATTAATTTATCGGTGCAGGATAAGAAAATGGGGTGGGTTGCAGTCATAACGTCGAGGTGCTTTGAACAATTTCCGGTCAAAGATAGAATCCCATGTCGTCGTCGCCTTCACGTAGACCACTCAGCCCTCGCCTTGCGCCAATCCAGGTATGAATGAGACCACAATCCCGCCGGGGCCTGTCCATCCCGTGGCGAGGGGTGCAGATAAGGCCGTCTGGCCGGCGGGATAATGCATGGGACTGGTGGCTGGTAGGTAGGATAGGGAGCTTCCCCCATCCAAGCTTTCCCGTCCCATCCATCTTGGCGTCACCTTTTACAAGTAGCTTCGCGGTGAAGAACGGCAGTGATTTCCCCTGCCAAGCTCGCATCGTGGGGTTTCTTAGCGATCCCACTAACTAGAGCCCCCCCCCCGGCGCACGCGCGGTCTAATACCACAACGGAAGCTGTTCTGGTTATCGTCGTCTGCATGCAGGCATGCATCAGTGGGAAAGCCCCAATCCTGGCCCTGCGAGATGCGTGATAGGTGATGCCGAGCTTCAGTTGCGTCGTTGCGCGATGTCGCTTCGAGGTGGCGGACGAGTAGTTTCTTGGGCTCCCAAAAGTACAAAATACCATGGCCCGCCGTCCCGCCTCCGCGAGGAATTGGAGAGCACTCTCTGCTCCTCGAGTCCGCTTGCGCTCGCTCCCTCTTTCTGCTCCCCTTCTCGTGCACGCATCCTTGCTGTGTTCGTGCTCTGCCTTGTTGTAGGAGGGTTGCTTGCTGTTGATCAACCATGGTTCGCCGCAGCTTTGTGCTGTCGCTGCTCGCCAGCGCGGGAGGTTTTCTCGCGTCTGAGGCTAAGAATCTCCCAAAGGCGAAGCACCTCCCTGGCAGCTACGTAATCGAGTTCGAGGATTCTCAAGTATGTGCTCACAAGTCCAATTGTCGCGCTGTGCTTTTCTGGCCATGACTAATTTGAACAGGATGCCTCTGAGCTCTTAAGCAGCATTGACTCAAAGGCGACGATGCGCAGTGAGTAATATGAGTTCTCTTTTCTAGCTTGGGCGATTGCGATGAGAGACAACATTATTTTAGAATAATGTATTGCCTCGGAAATCCTGCATTGCTTCAACTACGCATGGCATTGTTCTGAGGGTCATCATTGACTTACAATTATCTAGTGAGCTTTGACTCCTCCATTTTCAAGGGCGTATCGATTCAGTTCCACGATACCGCGGCTGCGGAAGAGGAGGCTGCGGCGCTCATCAACCTAGCAAGCGTCAAGCGTGTCTGGCCCAACCGACTCTACGAGCTCCCCAAGGACAATGTTATTTGGACGGGTAAGAGCAAGGATGCGAGCACTGCCGATAGTCTTGTCAAGAGACAAACCGACGGCGATACTTTTTCGCCTCATCTCATGACGCAGGTGGACAAGCTGCGAGCCAAGGGTGTTATCGGCAAGGGCATCAAGATTGGTGTCATTGACACCGGAATTGACTACACACATCCTGCGCTGGGAGGATGCTTCGGCGCCGGCTGCTTAGTCTCTTACGGCACTGATCTTGTTGGCGATGACTACGATGGCTTCAACACCCCTGTTCCCGATGATGAGTAAGTCTGTTCTGGAGGACGTAGAAGTAACATAGAGGAAGAGTGCAGAAAACTAATATCTATGCAGTCCCTATGATGGATGTGCCGGCCACGGTAGTCACGTCAGCGGCATTATCGCAGCGCAGGCAAACGAGTACGGATTTACAGGTGCTGCACCAGGCGTCACGCTCGGCATGTACCGAGTCTTTGGCTGCACCGGAAGCGCCGCCAACGACGTTCTTATCGAGGCCTATCTGAGGGCCTTCAAGGATGGCTCTAACATCATTACCGCGTCTATTGGAGGCTCTTCTGGTTGGAGTGAGGACCCCTGGGCCGTCGTCGTGTCTCGAATCGTCGACGCCGGTGTGCCTTGTACCGTGTCTGCCGGAAACTCGGGCGATATGGGCCTGTTCTACGCCAGTACGGCGGCGAACGGCAAGCGGATCACCGCGGTCGCCTCCATCGATAACTGGGTTACACCTACGTTGCTGATCGACTCGAATTTCACTGTCGATAGCGGCGATGCAGAGGTATTTGGTTACGTTATCGGCGAGCCAGCTGCCTGGGGTGGTGTCAACCTCCCCCTGTGGACTCCCAGCTTCGATACCACTGACCCTGCGATGGCTTGCGATCCGTTGCCAGCCGATACCCCAGACCTTTCTGGCAATATTGTGCTCATTCGCCGTGGTACCTGTACTTTCGTCCAAAAGGTCACCAACGCCGCCAATGCAGGTGCCAAGTACGTGATGTTCTACAACAACGTTCCGATTGGAGCTACGGGCCCCTCGGTCACCGATGTTCCAGCTATCCTAGCCGTTGGCATGGTAAGTGTAGCTTTATAAAGATTCGATATTTGTTACTGACCTTGAATATAGACCACAGCAGATCAAGGTGTAGCCTGGGTGAACGCTCTTGCTGCTGGCTCCGAGATCACTCTTGGCATGGTTGATCCAGAGACCGCTCCCGTTTCGTAAGAGATTCCTCTTATATCTTCCAGAGCCAAGTTGCTAACATGATGAAGTCTGATTACCTCTCCCAACGACGTCACCGGTGGAACCGCCAGCACCTTCACCACATGGAACCCGACTTTCGAGATGGATGTGAAGCCCCAGGTAGCATCACCCGGCGGTAACATTCTGTCAACCTGGCCGCAGACACT